CCTCCCATTCACCGTACATTAACCCTTTACACCCATCCACCATACATTAACCCTTTACTGCCCCCTCCCACCCACCATACATTAACCCTTTACTGCCCCTCCCACTCACCATACATTAACCCTTTACTGCCCCCTCCCACCCGCCATACATTAACCCTTTACTGCCCCCTCCCACCCACTGTATATTAACCCTTTACTTACCCCATTCTCTGTAAATAACCCAACATTAACCCTTTGTTCCCCCCCCATCTCATGTGCTGTATAGTAACCCTTCTCTCTCCCACTCCTAATTAATGGACAGTATCCTCTTCTCTGTACATCGCTCTCTTTACTGTCCCGCGTCATTTCATTTAAATTTGCAGCTTTCCTTATAATAATCCCCGGTGATCCCGCCAGGAAGGTCCATGTTCAGACACTTCCTGTTAGAGGGTGACAACGCTCTGCCCCCGTCTCCCAATTGTGCTCCTGAGTTGTCACCCTGTCACACGGGGCTTCTGACGGAGACTACAAGTCGGCTGTTTGTACACACGCCGTACGCAGACACGGGCCACTGTGGTCACCATCAGGAAACCCGCCCTGAGAAATGCCGTGCCGCCATCAATGGAGAGCATGTAGACAGGAGGTGGCTGCAAAGAGGCTGCAGGAGATCAGCAGCGCCGAGATGAAACAAAGGAGCAAAAAAAAAGGTGAAAACAAGGATTTTATTGAAATAATTGTTCACAATGAGGTTCTAGTATTGCCACAGATCGAACTTTTACAACATGAAGAAGAACATCGAGACATCATTGTAGATTTAATGGACAAAAATTCATCCAACTGCAGGACCACCTACTGGACCAGCTGTTGGACCACTTAGAAGACCACCTACTGGACCAGCTGCAAGACCAACAACCAAGAATGCTTAGACTCCGGTTCCTCTGTACCCCCTGAGACTCCGGTTCCTCTGTACCCCTGAGACTCCGGTTCCTCTGTACCCCCTGAGACTCCGGTTCCTCTGTACCCCTGAGACTCCGGTTCCTCTGTATCCCTTAGACTCCGGTTCCTCTGTACTCCCTGAGATTTCGGTTCCTCTGTACCCCCTGAGATTTCGGTTCCTCTGTACCCCCTGAGACTTCGGTTCCTCTGTACCTCTGAGACTTGGGTTCCTCTGTACTCCCTGAGACTCCGGTTCCTCTGTACCCCTGAGACTCCGGTTCCTCTGTATCCCTTAGACTCCGGTTCCTCTGTACTCCCTGAGACTCCGGTTCCTCTGTACTCCCTGAGATTCTGGTTCCTCTGTACCCCAAGATTATGGTTCCTCTGTACCCCTGAGATTCCATTCTTCTGTACCCCTGAGACTCCGGTTCCTCTGTACTCCCTGAGACTCTGGTTCCTCTGTACCCCTGAGACCCCGGTTCCTCTGTACCCCTGAGACTACGGGTCCTCTGTACCCCTGAGACTACGGTTCCTCTGTACCCCCGAAGACTTAAATTCTTCTGTACCCCCTGAGACTCCAATTCTTCTGTACCCCGAGACTCCGGTTCCTCTGTACCCCTGAGACTCCGGTTCCTCTGTACCCCTGAGACTCCGGTTCCTCTGTACCCCTGAGACTCCGGTTCCTCTGTACCCCTGAGACTCCGGTTCCTCTGTACCCCTGAGACTCCGGTTCCTCTGTACCCCTGAGACTCCGGTTCCTCTGTACCCCTGAGACTCCGGTTCCTCTGTACCCCTGAGACTCCGGTTCCTCTGTACCCCTGAGACTCCGGTTCCTCTGTACCCCTGAGACTCCGGTTCCTCTGTACCCCTGAGACTCCGGTTCCTCTGTACCCCTGAGACTCCGGTTCCTCTGTACCCCTGAGACTCCGGTTCCTCTGTACCCCTGAGACTCCGGTTCCTCTGTACCCCTGAGACTCCGGTTCCTCTGTACCCCTGAGACTCCGGTTCCTCTGTACCCCTGAGACTCCGGTTCCTCTGTACCCCTGAGACTCCGGTTCCTCTGTACCCCTGAGACTTCGGTTCCTCTGCACCCCCTGAGACTCCGGATGCTCTTTACCCCTGAGACTCCGGTTCCTCTGTACCCCTGAGACTTCGGTTCCTCTGCACCCCCTGAGACTCCGGTCACTCTGCACCCCGAGACTCCCGTTGCTCTTTACGTTCAGCATCTCTCTGTGTCCGTTGTGTCCCCTGAGATTCCTGTACTACTCCAGTGACCCCTAAATCTCTGTGTCTCTAGTCACTCCTGTGCATCCTGTGTCACCTGGTGACCTCAGAACATCCTGTGTCATCCCGACTCTAGAGTATCCGAGTCATCGAGCATTATGCACCTCAGTGAGACCTGTGTCTCCACGTAACATCAGGTACACGCCTGAATTTCCTGCTCTGTCTCTCTTTGTGGATATGGATCCCTAAGCGTGATAGAGTGGACCTTCTGATGCCTGAGAAGACTGTTTTTGAAGGTGAAGCTTTTCCCACACGTGGAACAGGAGTATTGCTTCTCAGTAGTGTGTGAGTCCAGATGTGAAATAAGACAGGCTTTCCTGGCAAAACGTTTCCCGCACTCCGAACAGGAAAATGGCCTCTCACTGGTGTGGCACTTCAAATGGCTACTGAGGTTCTCTTTAGATGGAAAACATTTGCCGCACTCAGGACAAGGAAAGGGCTTTTCTCCGGTGTGGACTCTCTGATGCGTAACAAGTTTATATTTCTTTGTGAATGATTTTCCACACACCGAACATGAAAAGGTCTCCCCGGTGTGGACTCTCTGGTGTAGAACAAGTTCAGATTTCTTTTTAAATGTCTTCTCGCAGTCTGCACATGAAAAAGGACGCTCGGGCATATGGCTGCTCTGGTGGGTAAGTAGGTCTCCTTTTTGAGTGAAACTTTTCCCACACTCCGAACAAGAATACGGCCTCTCTCCAGTGTGAAGGCGTTCATGCAAAATAAGACTTGCTTTTTGTGTGAAGGCTTTCCCGCACTCTGAGCACGAATAAGGACGCTCGCCAGTGTGAGTTCTCAGGTGTCTACGTAGGTTCCCTTTCCATGTGAAACTTTTTCCGCACTCCGAGCAAGGGTATGGCCGCACGCCGGTGTGGAATCTCTTGTGCACTACGAGATTTGTTTTTTGGGTGAAAGTTTTCCCGCACTCTGAACATGAGAAAGGACGCTCGCCCGTGTGAATTCTCTGGTGTCTAAGAAGGTGTTCTTTCCATATGAAGCCTTTCCCACACTCTGAACAGGAGAATGGCTTCTCGCCATTGTGGCGTTTGGAACGGGAAGTGACGCTTCCGTCTTCTCTGCCATTGTGGTCTGTGTTGGATACCGGAGACAGACGTCCCTCCGAGGTGTTCCAGTCATGGCATTTATCTGTTGGGAAGAGATGTGTGATTAGGTGCGGAGTATTTTCTGCTCAGGAAAGTCAGGAGTCATATGACACCTCCCCCCCAGCACAATACAGATCAGGAGGAGAGGGGATGGATGATGATTGAAGTCAATCAATCAGTCCACCCTTGTATACTGGTCCATCATTTATAATTGTCCTCTGACCGGATAATGTGAAGGTCTGTGGGGTCTCCATCACCTTCAATACTGGTCCACCATTCAGAACCCATCCTCCTCTTACCAGACATTGAGAAGGTCCATGGGTTCTCCATCTCATACATTCAACCTGTATCCTAGTCCACCATTTATAATCCATTCTCCCCTTACCAGAGAACGAGAAGGTCCATGGATTCTCCATCACCTTCTATACTGGTCCATCATTTATAATTCATTGTCCTCTGACCAGACGATGAGAAGGTCTGTAGGTTCTCCATCACCTTCTATACTGGTCCAACATTTATAATCCATTCTCCGCTCACCAGATGATGAGAAGATCCATAGGGTCTCCATCACATACGGTCAACCTGTATCCTGGTCCACCATTTACAATCCATTCTCCCATTACCGGATGATGAGAAGGTCCATAGGGTCTCCATCACATTCAGTCAACCTCTATACTGGTCCACCATTCAGAACCCATTCTCCGCTCAAGAGATGATGAGAAGGTCTGTGGGTTCCCCATCACTTTCTGTCACCCTCTACACTGGTCTACCATTTATAATTCATTGTCCTCTCACCAGACACTGAGAAGGTCCAGAGGTTCTCCATCACATACAGTCAACCTGTAGCCTGGCCCACCATTCAGAACCCATTCTCCGCTCACCAGATGATGAGAAGGTCTGTAGATCCTCCATCATCGTCATTCAAGCTGTATTCTCTATACTTGCTGGAGTAAAATGTAAAGTTTTCTGTATGAACTTACCCGTGCCAATACCTAGAGAAGATTCCTCCTCTTTAATCTTTCTCGTAGATTGCTCTTCATCCTTCACATCCATCTCCTCTTCTTCCTCTTTAACTTCAACTTTCATATTAATCGGCTCTTCACCCTAAACCAGAAGAATGACAGAAAATAACATCTTTACCACGGGAGTGCCGCCAACTAGACACACCGAGGAATGTCATCTCATAGGGTTCGGGGTCACTCCTGAATCTTGGAATCATCTACCTGATCATGGTGGGGGACGGTGAGATCTTCCTGGGTGGAGTCCCGGGAATACAGGGGGCGGGGACATCTCTCTGGTGGGTTCCTCTTACTGGATCCATCTGTAGGAAACACACACACTGACTGAATACATTGTTTCTATGTGTGTATCAGATGATGGGGGATGTAGGCGGAGCCTCCGTACTGCTCTCTCCTCTTACCCGGTGATGTGAGCGGCGGCTCATGCTCCATCACGATGTTCTTGTAGAGGTCATCTGACTTGATGGTCTACATCTCACGGTGAAGGTCTACAGATCCTCAATCATCCATCCATATACCTGGATAGTTTCTGTATTAATGTCCAGTACTCACCTGTGATGGTATCTAGAGGAGGTTCCTCTTGTTTGATGGCTTCCCTCATCTCGACCTCCTCTGTAGTCCGCTGATGACCCATCACATACGTCTCTTCTTCTTCTTTTACCTCAACTTTTATCTTCATCCCTTCTTCATGCTAAACCAACAGAATGATAGAGAACATGATCACTGATAACCTGAGTCTACATAGAAGTGCATCACTTTGGATTCTACCCACCGACCTGATCATGGTGGGGGACCACCCTAGGGGGCCACACGTTTACGCTCACCCAGCTACAGGTGAGACCATTACCTTTCTTTCCCGCCACACCGAACCACATTTATTGCGACAGGTAGTGGCGCTTCCGTCTCTTCCAATTTTTGTTTATTGTTTCTATGTGTGTATCAGATGATGGGGGATGTAGGCGGAGCCTCCGTACTGCTCTCTCCTCTTACCCGGTGATGTGAGGGGCGGGGCATTCTCCATCACCACGTCCTTGTAGAGATCCCGGTGTCCTTCTAGATCCTCCCACTCCTCCGGTTCCAGCAATACCTTCTCTCTACTTCCCAACTCAACCGTCACCAGGATCTTCCTGTCTACACCTTACATCACTTCCTGGTTTTATTTGACATCACTTCCTGCGTGCGGTTCACGAAATGAACCTGAGATCGCCCCCTGGTGGACATTATGGAAGTTGTAAATAGGAGGGTATTAAATCTCACCCTGGGGATCATCTACCCGCTGACCGGAGAGGTGAGGAGGATTCTGGGAGGTCACATGACATCACTCTGACCTCTATTCATAAAACACGGACCTGACCGGAGAGGTGAGGAGGATTCTGGGAGGTCACATGACCTGATCAGAGAGATGAGGAGGATTCTGGGAGGTCACGTGACATCACTCCTATCTCTATTAGTAACACAGACGTGACTGGACAGGTGAGGAGGATTCTGGGAGGTCACATGACATCACTCTGATCTCTATTCATAACACACAGACCTGACCGGAGGGGTGAGGAGGATTCTGGGAGGTCACATGACATTACTCTGATCTCTATTCATAAGACACAGACCTGACCGGAGAGGTGAGGAGGATTCTGGGAGGTCACATGACATCACTCCTATCTCTATTCATAACACAGACCTGACCGGAGAAGTGAGGAGGATTCTGGGAGGTCACATGACCTGACCGGAGGAGAGGTGAGGAGGATTCTGGGAATTTAAGTAGTGATCACTGATATTACAAAGGATTTTGAAGTGGTGAAGAAGACCTCTAGTGCGCAATGGGCACCCGACACCTTCACACAAGTGATCGGACCTTCCCGTGTGGGAAACGTTCATTCTTTTTTCACAATCTTTATTTAATAAAACAAGTTGGGCCAATACGGACAATACGGTATAAGAAGAGACAATTTTTATATGATTACTTTTTTTGGTGGCTGCAAATAAAGATTCATTGTACATCATATGCATCTGAGTGTCATTTATTTTCCTCAACTTGACCTTCTTAAGTGAATCCTAACAGAAGAACCCGGAAGGGGGAGGGACGGTGGAAATGGGAAGAATAGTGGGACTCTGGATCGGAACGTCTGAGGGGGATGGGTGGAATAAAAAAGGGGTCAGGGGGCCGGGAAGGGAAGTACGGGTTAATAGCGGGTCATATTAAGCATGGACTTGGGTCTTGCTGGACTGGACATTATGGGGCCTTGCCTGGAAGTGAGCTTTGGGCACAGGGTAACTCTTTGGGCTCTTTAAAGACCCGTGGTTTCCAAAGTCTTTCCCTACGAAGACTTTATAGAAAGAGGTCTACCAATTCTGTGGAGCCAGCAGTGTCCCACCTTAAGAAAGTGTCCACCATTTTGGTATCGGATGGGTCTTCAACCCTACCAACAAGTGGCTGGAGGCCCTTTCTAGAGTCTCGTTCTCTCTGGCAGGCCCTGCTTTGCACTCTGTTCTGTGTCTGATCTGTCAAACCACCACTCCTGTGTGTCCTCTGCACTTTCAGTTTGTGGCCCCGCCCTTCAACCGATCTTCTGCACCTCAAGGGTTCACTAAGGTGCTGGCCCCATACTGGTCTTGCTGCATCCTTAGGGATTGAACATTTTGGGTTATGGCAGATAACGTATTCCTGACCATGCAGAGCTTGCAGAGCTTCTGATGGATCTTGAGCCTCCAGCACCGGAACCTCATCATTTGGAATATCTTGGTCAAGTCCTTCACAGAACTCAAGCCAGTTTTTGTTCCCCAGGAGAAACTTCAAACTCTTCACTCCCAGATCCATACTCTTCAGTCCAGGAGTTGCCCAACGCTTCGCTTCTGCATGAGAGTCCCGGGGACTCCAGGTCCGTAGTAGCCTCCTTCGCGGCCATCCAATTTGCCCAAGTTCACTCCAGACCTCCACAACACAACATTCCGTCATCATGATACAAGTCAATCCAGTCCTTGGACAGACCTACTTGGCACCAAGTCCTGGTTGTGCATGGCTTGGTGGCTCGGGAATCTGGCTGTGGAGTCAGGGAGCTTCTTCCTTCCTAGCTTTTGGAAGATCCTAATGATGGATTCCAAGCTGTCTGGCTGTTGAGGACTCCTGGGCACCTGTTGGGGCATGGGACTTGGACATCAGAGGAATCTCATCTCCCGATCAACATTCTGGAGCTCCAGCCGATTTGGTTGTTCCTGCGGTAGATTCAGTTGGACAGCACCATGGAAGTGGCATTCATCAACCCAGAGGTCTCTTCATGGCCAGAGAGGTAGAGCAGATCCTGTCCAGAGCAGAACTTGACATTCCAGGCGTGTCTGCTGTATACCTATCCAGGTGGATGTGGTACTCCGACCTTATAAAACTTCTGTCACATGCTCCATGGTCTCCGATCTTCAGCCTCAAGGACAGATCGTGCTTCATGGTCGCTGGCTCTAAAGGCATGGCTGGTAAAGCCCAGGTTCTGAGGACCAGACGCATCTCTGAATTGGTAATTCCCATGATTCTTAAGGCTTAGATGTCTACTTCCCGTAAATTCTAACACCATACGTAGAAGGCATTCACGGAAGGCCTTCATCCCAGGAAGTTCTCAATGGGACTAATCCTTTCTTTTTTACAAATAGGTCTGGACCAGCATTTGGCCATCAGTCCAAGTCTTTGCTCTTGCTTGTTCTAGAGACCACCAGCGTCACCTTCTTTAATCAAGACCTTCGTGTAGGGTGTCTTCCATGTGGTCCCCATTAGTTGCTTCCCTGTGACTCAACGGCATCTGAATTTGATTCGCTCAGCATTTCAAAAACCATCCTTTGAACCCATCATGGGATATCCCTCTCTGTTTTACCCGTAAGATGGTGTTTCTTGTGGCCATCACCTTTACGAGGTGAGCGTTTGAGCTTGTGGCCTTATCCTATAAAGGACCCTTTCTGGTCTTGCACCAGGAGAAGGTGGCCTAGA